TGAAAACTGTTTCTCTCTGCTAATTTTGACATTTCTATCATCAATCTTTTAACTTAATGAATCCCAAGGGCCTGTACCTGAGCCCATACTTCAGTCCTCACTCTCATAACTACATTAACTTGCATTCTAGTTTCATAGTTACTGAGTAATTTATAGTTCATAATCGTTCATAATAATAATAAAAAATCTTGAAAGCCCAGATCTTACATCTTTGCATATTTTATTTTATAAAGTTTGACATTTGTTTGGTTTTATGTACCAAAAACAGTCATTATTCATTTTCACATAGTTATTTTTCTGCCTTTCTTTATCCCTTTAATTTTTTGTGCCTTTCAGACTGATATATGTAAATAGCCTCTCTTCTGATTGGCTGTCCTGTATCGTGCCTCATTCAAAAGGCAGTCCATGCTGAAACATGGGGCTAAATTTGTTTGGGTTCATGTACCCATAATTCATTTTTATGTAATCGTATTCCAACCTATTTTCCTTTTTATCCCTTAGAGTTAAGTAGACTGTTTTTGTTACTGTACCTTTAAGACTGATATATGTAAATAAGCTCTGTTCTGATTGGCTTCCCTGCACTGTACCTTGTGAAAAAGCAGTCCAGGCTAAAATATTTTATATATACTTTAAAATACTATGTATAACTCTTAATATAAAAAAGCTACACTGCTTTAGGCTGAGTAGGTGGGTATGTATACATTCTGTGATATCATAAAAACAGTAAATCCAAAATAGGCTATTTTCACAGCTTAGGGCTTCTATTGTGCTAGAGAACGACTGGTGGGTTTTGAAACACTGTTAGTTTACAACTGTCTTGTCTAAAAAAGTAATGAGATTTTCCATGAGATTGACTCTTTAAAATCAATAATTAAACAGCAAGCTGAGGGTTTAAGGGCTACAGAAACTGAATGCCTTGCTCTCGCAGTGGAAGCAGAAGAGAGTTCCATGTGTCGATGACTAATCTGGGGCACAGGAGTGCTTGAGCTGAGGTCTGCACTCAGCATTTCTTCAAGCTCCATGACACCCATGAGAGCAGAAGTAGACGAGGGGCCCAGGGGTCTGATGAGAGCATGTGCAGGAGAGCAGTTATCGAGCCAGATGCTCAGAGAGCCAGTACTGCAAAAACATCTTTCTTCTTTAATTACAGCCATTACGTCTGTACGTTGAGTAAGAGGTGAAAGTATCTAATATTTTGCTTCTGCTGACCTGCATGTGCCGTGCTGGCTTTGATTGGTTCAGTATTTTACCTCCTCCCTGTATCTGAGGCTGCAGAAATGTGCTTCTCTGTCACTTTTCTACTGCCATGGTTGGATTAGATTGGAAATGGTTTGCTCTGCCTCGTCACATAAAATTGAAATATTCTGATGAGAACAGGCCAAAAAAAAAAGTCTTAGGTCATCAGAAGCCTTTTTTATTTTGATTGATCACACTTTCGATTTAATTCAAGTGGTTTTCGTGATAGTTAGGCACAGAACTGTTTTCATAGACATTTGCTTTGCTTTCAGACTTTCTAATTCGATTTATAGTAAAAATATTCTTGTTGTCTGCTACAGTATATGATTTTCTTGTCTCCTCTAATTCAGATGCATAAAATGGCAAGTGAGTTAGACTGAACAGTAGTAAATGAAAATAAATTCATAAAATATACACAAATTAGCTCTGATCTGTTGGCATATTAAGAGTTAGGCTTGAAGGAGATGAGGAGAGATGCAGCAGGTTACTTTGGCTCTTATTGCTGTAGCTCTTTTGTGCCAGAAATGCAATTTGAGAAGAAATGCACATGAGTGTAGATAAAGTGACAACAGGAAGGGTTTGGGGAGGGGGTGGTGCTGTGGATTGGTTACCATAGAAACAAGAGGGTTGAGGGGAATGGGGAGGATGTTAGAAATACTGCGTGGTAACGTGTTTATGTCTGCTGATTCAGCAGCGTCCAAAGTCCCCTCGCTATACTGCATAAGATGCAGATGCTCCACAAAATCAGCCACCAGCAAAAATTTGCAAGGCTTAAATCATTGTATTTTCTTTCTGCATTACTGTTCTGTTTTTTTTTTCTGTTATATTTCTTTGCTGCATATATTACTTGTGACATTGTTTTTTGTACCAAAATCAGTTATTATTCATTTTGCATTATCATTTTCCATCCTCTCTTTATCCTTTAGAAGTAAACAGCTGTGGTACTGTGTCTTTAGGACTGATATACTGTTTAACAAAATATGTAATGAGACCAGGGGTGCCTAAACTTTTGCATATAACTGTATGTTAAATGATTCTGTTCTGATTTGCTGCCCCTGTACAAATAGTCAGGGCCGAAACACTCCTTATAACTTCATCGTGAATGGATGGACAAACCTGTCTGTAGGCTGAATAGTACAGTATATGTCCATGTGTTAGTTTTTGTGACATCACAAAAACAATGAATTCTTGCTGTTTTTGCAGCCATGGGTTTTTTCCTACTTTGCGTTCAAAAACAAGAACTGACCAAAACAGGAACCACCGGTTGTAGTTCATTTTCCACCTGCTGGAGAGACAACTAGAACCATCATAACAATCAAGATTGATTATTTAATTGTCTTTTTCTTCATTTTATGCCAGTGTAAAAAGTGTCTAATTTAGTATTATGAGTGAGGAACCCTCTAGTCATTCAGAGAAGCCTAATGATTTCTCTCAAATAAAAAAAATATACAAGTTAATTCTGCAAGTCACTGCTGTCAGAACAAAACCTGTCGGTTTTCAGTTTTTGACATAATTTGAAAATGCATATTGACTTTTACATTGTGGCTGTATTTCATGATGAATGGACCAAAAGAAATGGCCCAAAATTACACAGAAAAAACTGGTCCCTTTGTCTTACATTAAAAGTAAAGTATGTTTTTTCCTTCTCCTGTAAACTTATCATTTTGGAGGTTTTGTTCCTACAACAGTGAAGTTTATTTGTACAATTCATTTCATTATTAAGCTTTGGTTGTAAACAAAAGGGTTAAAATCTTGAAATGCCCCCCAAAAATGATCCAATCAGAATTTTTTTCTTTGTGGTGTTTATGTAGATGTACCCAAGTGAGCTCTCCCACTGGTCACGACTTCAGGAGCTGAACTGAAAGCCTAACTCATCAGATTAACCACTAACGTCTTGGTGGATACTTAATATATTGTAGTGAATTAACCAATCAATCACGTTTTGATTTTCAGGCGGAGAACCAATTTTGAAAAAACATGACTTTAGTCCGAGATACATGAGTGACTGTGAGTACGAGTGTAAGCCTGACCAATGTGTTTCAGAGTAGTTAGAAAGGGAAAACTATGCCAGGAATCTTTAATGAAACAGTCACTGTAGCACTGCTATATACAAGATTAGATATGTAATAGAATTCCATTTGGCTGCTAGAAGAAATTAGCAGCATCATAAAGGTTTTTTGACATTTATGGCCCAAACTGAAGGCCGAGCTGTAAGAGTCACTGCTAGGCATTATCAGCCCTGCTTGTGTGAAATAACACATCAGCTTACTAGCTTAACACCAGCTGTGTCAATATAAAATACTACAGTGCGCTTTTCTGTGCTCACACACTCACATAAATGTCTACAGTTACACAAAACCATGTGTGGAGTCAAACCGAGCTTATAGTTTTCCCTGTTGAGTGTGAAAGTACATTTTGTTGAGGCTAGCATAAATACTAACAATGTTAATGTTAGCCTCCTAACTAAATGTCACTTTAGTGACACTAGTAATGATTAACTTGCTCTATACTATTGTAGTACTTCAGTCTTTAAATAGAGGAACTACCTACTTATTTGTTACTTGTTGTTATGCTGCTTGTATTATCTGCACTAAAATGTATAACAGCGGCTGTTCTACTACCTCATGCTGTTTAAGAGGACTTTCTCTTACACTACATGATAATAAAGTGCGTTTTATTTTGTTCGTGTACATTTGTATGTAGTTGGGATCTGTTTTATCTCTCATATCCCCCTTACACCCTGTTTGGTGGATACTTAATATGTTGTAGCATTCCGCCACTATGGAAGGAGGCACACAGCTTTTCCACCACTGTAGGCTTTATTAAAGGCTGTCTCTGGCTCCAGCCCATGGCTCAAGCCCATGATGATGAGAATGATGATTTATTTGACAATGAACTGAAATACATGTAAGACTGCATTCATACAGAACTTGCAAGCTTTGAAAAAAACATATGGAGGATGAAAACACAATAAACATGTTCTTACTCAGTTGGCTGGCAGGCTCGACTCCCTGCTCTCTTGCTGCACTAAGCATCAGCACAACCCCAGAATCAGAGTCCTTGTAGAAAAAACGCAGAAAATATCTGCTGCAGAACAAACTATGAGAATAAGCATGAAAAACATTTTCCAAACTCACTACAAAATGTTTGTGTTGTTGAAGTGTTTTGGTTTTCTTATGTTCTTGCTGCTGTAACAGCATGATATCTGTTGAGATCTATCTATCTATCTATCTATCTATCTATCTATCTACAAATGTTTACATACTACGTCCAGCTTTCAATTACAACATCAGAGAAAAACATGCTATAATATGTGCCTTTTCATAAAGTCAAATGATGACGGTACCAGGGTACAGACAACGAGTTTCAGTGTATGTAGAAGAGTGCTCTATGCTCTGATGACTTGAGGAGTGATCTCCTCAGTGCTGCATATACAGACAAGCAGGAGAAAGTGAGTGAGGAAGAGGGAGAGAGGCAGACAGGCCATTTATCAGTGTTTCTGGCAAGCCTGAGAAGATTATCCACCCAGAGTTATGGCCATCATTCCCCTCTCATCAGTTTGATCTGAAACAGGCCATAGCATTGCGCTGGAAAACAATTAGCGGGGTCGCTTGCTGCCGAAGCAAAGAGCTGCTGTCATAAGAAGTGCTAAAGAGATCATCACTATTATTGAGCGATGGTGAACAGTGAAGCAGGACGAAGACTGACATTTGATTGTCACAAAGTGATCATGCGTTTTAATGTTTATTTTCCCTCTCCTGCAGGCTAATGATGCCTCCGGAAACACCTGGAACTGGCTGTATTTCATCCCCCTCATAATCATCGGCTCCTTCTTCATGCTAAACCTGGTTCTGGGAGTGTTGTCAGGGTGAGTGTGATCTGCAGCAGACACCCAAAAACACAGAGAGGGATCATCACCAGCTAAATTTTACTCCATTTTTTATGGTCAGTGGTTCAGCTCGTGATGGGCTTATTAGGTGATGAGCTCTACAGGAATGGGAATTGAGAACCAACCCTTTTTATACGGATAAAAGTGTTTAATAGGATCAAATATTGTTTCTGTTGGCATATAGACTGTGGGCCATTTTACTGGATACCCCTACCTTTCAGGTCCACCCTCCAGTCCTTCCTTAACGGTCAGTTGCTGACAGTGGTGAAACATGACTATTAGAGCTAGGCCCTTTAGTTCAGGCCAAAAATGTCAATAATCAGTCAAAACCAAGGACAAAAAACTCAGAAGACACGTTTAGGTAAATAAGTAAATAAAATTTCTACCTGTGCCAAGGAAGCAGTAATCAAGTTACCACGGTAACAGTTTAACAAAAAAGAAAAAACATTGTTCATTTATTGATTTATTTTGTGGAAACCACAGCAAGACAGGATACCAGGATCCTACATTAATATTGTACCTGACATAGATGAGATTATTCTAGAAATGCAGCTGTGCTGGTTTAACATGCTCAGTGCTGCAGGCAGATATTACGCCTGTCAAAAAGCCGCCTCTATGATACAGTGTACATTTACGACATCCTCACACCACAGCACACACACACACACACACACACACACACACACAACCTGGTTTAATTTTTGTGGTTTCCCACATGATTACATGAATAAGTGGACAACATAAAATATGGCAAATTTCAAAATTTTCAGTTATTAAGAATCGAGATAAACAATTTTCTGCCAAGAAATGTAGTTTCTTTAGAGTATGTGATTGTTGCCAAGCAACCATGGATTACTGAATGAGGACAAGAATGTTCAGACACTGTATATTGCAACTTTTGTCATATAATAATGAACATATAGCACTGTTTAATGCAAAAATCTTCATTTTATAAGTACTTTTTGCTCAAAGTACCACCTCAACGACAATGCTAATATCCATTAGTCTTATTTAGTACACATCAAACCACTCTGAGAAACTTCATTCACATCTCAGTGATTGAATTCTGCTATTTTGAAACGTGAAATTTTCTTAAATAAGTAAAGAAACAGGCTACCTTAACATTTCAAGTTTATTGAACATTAAACAGTACGTTCACAGAAGAATAATCTGTCTTACATTCTGATATTTAAACTTTATTATTTTAAATATAGTCTAATCTTTACTGCAGCCTCATTACTTTCTTTTTAAGTAAAAACAAAATCATCACTTTTGTTACACTTTGTGGTCTGATGATATGATAGGATAGGGTGGCTGACAAATTGTGCATGAAAACAGATGGGCTTCAGTTGAGTAATGATAAGGTAAGTGTTTGTGATAAAGTGGATGTAAGTGTAGAAACCAGGGCCTGCATTCTCAAAGCTTCTCAGAGTAGCAGTACTTATCTAGCTCCTGTCAGTAGGGTCATCATAATAAACACTTTACTCTGTGGCGCTTTATGAATATGGGCTCAGTTCATCTTTCCCTGCCGTGTAAGTACATTTCAATCTTTTTGCAACCGGTCCTGTCATACGTGGTCAAGGTTGGCCACACGTTTACACTTAGACAGTCTGGAGCCGCCGTGTGACATTAGGATGCAGCATAGAATCACAGTGGAGACAGACAAATAACATTAATATAAAAAGGATTTAGAGAATTCAGCTAATATGATTGATCAGTTTTCTGTGGGTTGGTGTGGGAAGAGCTTTCTATTAGAGTGTTAGAAATGTCATAGAGGACATTGCAGTGTATAGATTTAAAGATCCGTTTACCTGTAGCCTATGCATATACACTGCAGTTATGTGTTAAGTGCTGTAAGGACTGGATGGAAATGTGATTAGGCAGCTGAGTTACGCCAATGCACTGTTGGTTACAATTAGATTTGTCCTCCATAAGTTGTGATGTGACTGTTCATCATGGAGGAACAACACACAGACATATACGTCTATACTTCAATCTCAGCTCTCTCTCTCTCTCTCTCTCTCTCTCTCTCTAGCCTTGTGTCCATCCTCCCTGTCTTGTTTTTTGTTTCTCACTGCACACACGCCCTGGTTTAATGGAGGCTTGCTGGATGAGTGCTCTGTGGTTCTGTAGCTACTAGGGGAGCTGAATTTATGACTTCTCGGAAAGCAAATCTAATTTTCAGCACTCTTTCACCAAACAGCTCCTCTGCTCCGTCCTCTGGTGTCGGTGTGGCACAGAGCATTTGTTACTTTGTCTTCAGCCTTCAGGGAGTCTTCAAAGCCCTGTGTTTGGCCCCACAGGTTCTTGTCTCTCCTCTTTCTCTCTCTCTCTCTCACTCAATCTCCTTCTCTCTCTCTCTCTCTCTCTCTCTGTCTCTCTCTCTTCTTATAGTGTTCTGTGTTCTTATTGCACAAGCATCTCTCAATTTCCTTCTTTCTTTTTTCCCCTTCATTTCTCTCATTTCTTTCTTTCTCAGTATCTTGACTGCTCTTGTCCTCTCTCTCTCTGGTCTCTCTCTCTCTCTCTCTCTCTCTCTCTCTCTTTCTCTCTCTCTCTCTCTCTCTCTCTTTCTCTCTCTTTCTCTCTCTTTCTCTCTCACGGTCTTATACTGTAGGCATCTCTCACTGTTTCCTGTGTTCTTTCTTTCATTTCTATTTGTATTCTTTTCTCTCTGCTTGTTCTTTTTCTCTTGTTTATTCTTTCTTTCTTTCTTTCTTTCTTTCTCAGTCTATCTACTGTTCTTGTGCTCTCTCTCTCTCTCTTCTTATGATGTTCTTATTGCACAAGCATCTCACAATTTCCTTATTTCTTTTTTATCTTTCTTTCTTTCTTTCTTTCTTTCTTTTTTTCTTATTGGAGTAATTTTCCTCTTGTGGGCACAACATATACATCCTGTGAATAACATTCCAACTGAAATATTTTGCCATATTTTCCCTGTTTCAGTGTAAACTAGACTTAATTTGGGGTATTTAAGCAGAACCTTCACCAATCACAAGGCTGATGTGGGTTGTTTACAAAGCTTTAGCCAAATTTTTAAACCTTGCTAGATGTTCAATATAACTGATCATACAAACTTTTCAAATATTTTACACTGTGTTCCCTTTAACAGTGGCAGCAGTCATAGTGGCAAATCTGGGGTGTCAAACTGATTTTAGGTACCGGCTACATCACTTAGTCTAGTTTCAAATGGGCCGGACCAGTAATGAGTTTAATAGGCCCATATCACATCAACAACTACTCATAAATGTTTGTTTTAATATAATTATATATTAATTATTATATTATATATAATGTTATATATTATTTATTTTTTACAATGAAATATATGTATTATATTTATGCAGCTTTTCATGCCATATGTTCGACACCCCTGGACAAGACGAAAAAATGCTAGTAGAACATTTACCAACGCCAATTTGAGATCTCAGGTTCAAATGCATGTGTGAGAAGATGCTGCGCCAAATATGCTGGGATGCAGCCACAATATGCACTTATAGACAATGTTATTATTTCACAAATTATATTTCTGTGTAAAGGTTCAGCCCTGTAAACTCTTTAGGTGGGAAAGAACTGCTTTTTTCTCCTTTACACTCTCTCTATTCTACTCTCTCTTTCTCTCTTTCTCTCTCTCTCTCTCTCTCTCTCTCTCTCTCCCTCCCTCTCTCTCTCTCTCTCTCTCTCTCTCTCTCTCTCTTTGGTGAATGTCTGTTATTCCCAGGCTGGTGGTTGTAGAGTGGAGTTGTTGGGTCCTCAGAGGGTTTGCGAACAGATCGCTCTCTCTCTTTTTCTCTTCACGCTCCATCTGCGTCTGCCTCTCTCTGCTGCATACACACACACACACACACACACACACACACACACGCACATCCTCACACTTCTCTGTGCAACCTTAACGACTGCACAAAATGCAGATGCACTTTTTCTCTGTGCACTCTGTTAGTCCCACATGGACCTCTCTCTCTCTCGCTCTCTCTCTCTCTCTCTCTCCTGCTCTCTCTCTTTTCTCTCACTTTCTTTCTCTCAATTGTCCTTCAAGTCAAGTTAGCTGTCTCCTCTTGTCTCTCGCTGTGAAATCCGTTCATTTAGAGCAGCTTTTAGAACTCAAGGTGAAAGAGCGGCTTTTAAAGACGGGCCACTCCACGGAGACTATTTTCATAAAACAACAGTTTCTGCTCTGGTACTGATGAGACTGGGTCTCATAAGACACTGCTCATGTGGGTGTTTGTTACAGTGCCTGCAAATAGTGACACAAAAGCATGGATGTATGTGGAGAGAAAGATAGCGTGAAAGCCAGGACATGTGTGAAAACAGGCCGTGCCTGTACGTGGTGAGAGAAAAATTGGTGTGTGAAAAGCAGAGCTGTATATGAAAGCGCACTCTGAACATGAGGTGTTGTGTATACGTTCCTCACGTACTAAATCCACCTCGCAGCTTTTAGCACCTTTTCATTGTTTGTTGAAAATGTTAGGTAGGTTAGGCTTTAACAGGGCTGTATAGCGTGGCAATTTTGCTTGTATTTGCAAGTGTGTATATTATATTATACTTTACAACTACAAACCGCTAATGGGAGTGCCTGAACGTGAACACATTACCAAGGACCCTTTGAAAAATACGTGAGTGAGAAGTCAGAATAGTCTAACTAAGCTAATTATAGCTAGAACCCTCAACAAGCTACTATAATCCACTGAAAAGAAAAAAAGTTTTTGTAGATGACAATGATTCATCATTTCCCATTACACCAGTTAGCTCTAGTGTTAAGTACTGTTAACAATATCCAACTACCATTTCATCTAACAAACAAATTTCACTGAGAAAATATTTGATACTATTATAAATAAACACAATACACAGTGTCACAGATGACAACTTCACTCTTTTTCTCTGTGGTCAAAACCTTCACTTTTAAAAATGTCTTTTATCATTACAACAATGTTCATTTCCTCCAGTGCCTCTTTGGGATTTCCCATGCTATTCCA